ATTTAACAAATCTCCAAGGTGTAAATATTGATTTATTTTTTGATAATTTGTATAGAATTTTTTAAGTTAAATGCAGGAATTTGAATTTATTTTTTATTAAATTCGCATGAGAATAATATAAGTAACGAGTATAGCTTGTATAATTTAATTTATTTGACGTAAAAATAATTATTAATTTTTCATTTTTACAATGCCTATAATTAGAAAATAGTTGGATATATTTATATAAATGATAATATAACTAATTTTTCTTTATTTTTTATATGAAATTCCGCATGTTTTTTGAATGCATCTCACCTCCATATTTTGTAAGAAACGTACTAGCTCTATTTTAGCATTCCGTTTATTGAACCAAGGTGCCAATCCGTGTGAGAATCTGCAATGTGGACCAGGACAGGAATGTGACATAGACAGGTATGGCATTGCCACCTGTCAGTGCCCCGGAGCGTGCGAACCAGTCATGAGACCCGTCTGTGGCACCGATGATAGAACCTACGATAGCCAATGCGAATTGAGAAGACAATCGTGCGTCATGCAACAACCCGTTTCTATGGATTACAGAGGAGTGTGTGGTAAGTTTTGTGACGTAATAAAATAAAGGTGAGAAGTATGATGACGTATTTTACATATATTCTTTGCCGGCCAATGAAGGTTAAATGTAGGAATTTTGAATTTGACGTTTACTTCACTATCTGGAAGAGGAGAGAATTGCCCAGATTTTTCTGACACCGCTTGACTTCTGAATTGCAAATGGCGATACTTCTCTATCCTATTTTGCAAATCGTTGCAATTTATAAGCCGTCTGTATCTACTTTCCGGTTAGTTTAAACTAAACCACAAAAAAAATCTACGAGAAAAAGAGGATTTTCTTCGGTTTTTAGAAAAATCCAAATCTTCCTGAATATAAAAGAAAGAATAAATTTGCGGCTCTACCTCCTAAGATCAGTTATTATTCTCCTTATTCCCTTTATAAGCTGCATCAAAATGTTGATGTCCTATAAATATAACATCGTTTAGAAAGCTTCGTATGCGAAACATATTGCTACAGTTGTGGCATCATTCAGATAACTTCCGTACACTCTATCATTCAGGTAGCTTCATATGTGCTACGTATTACTACAGCATCATTCAGATAGCTTTGTATGCTCTACACATCACTAAATATTGCATCATTTAGGTAATATCATAAGCTCTAAATACTACATGTGCGGATCATTCAGGTAGTTTCGTATACGCTACAAATTACTACAGAGGAAACGGTGGCATAGATGACTTCTAGAAGGCCAGAGTTGAAAGAGAGGAAAAAAATCTAATGCGAAAGATATTTAATTATTTAAAACACTCATCAAAGTTAATTATATTAAAATATCTCGCGCTTTATTATGATTAAAATGTGTTACGTCAATAGAGCTGAAGGTAATCTTCAAATTTTCCAGGTGAGGACGGTGCTTGTCAGAAGCACATTTGCGATTTTGGAGCCGTGTGTACAATACAGTCGGGTCGAGCCGAGTGCGAGTGTCCTTCTTGTTCGGAAGAATTTCAACCCGTGTGTGGCACCGATGGCATCTCTTATACTAACGAATGTAAACTAAGAAAAGAAGCGTGCGAACAAAGAAAGGATATTAAAATTGCTTACAGCGGCTTGTGTAGTGAGTATTTTCTTTAATCATTTTAAATAAAATCCTTTACAAGTAGAGCTGATGCAATCAATTTTCACATTAAAGGTGTTGAATTAGTTGGTGTTGGAGCGTAAAAGGTCTTGCTTTTTTCATTTTTTTAATTACTTCTAAAGTAATTTTAAAGAAATTTTTATGATCTTTAATCCCTTTTGGATGTCGTGCACTAGCTTCAAATTGTATCCTTTCAAGATAAAATGTTTGGAAAACAGCTTAACGTTTAAAATTCTGTTAAGGTTTACCTTGGTTTTGCTATTCTTCTAGTGTTCCCAACTCACTTTGCTGATTGACCACCTTTAAAAACTATCAAAAAACACAAAGTTTTACTCATTTTCTCATAAAATTTGCTTTACTTTTTTAACGTCCAGCAGCTCGCTCACATTTTTTTTTTCCTTTTTTATTTTCTTACTTTTATTATTCTTTTCGGAAATTTATCCCTTAATCCTCTTAAGAATTTTCGGTTTCTCCAGACATCCCCGACTAACACGTGTTTGTTCGACCACACCCTAGCTCTGTCACGTGTCAAAATGACGTCATTAAGGGGTGGAAAGTCATCGCTCGGTTCAATTAAGGTGAAATGTTGAAGGTGACTCGACCATTTGTCACGCGGAGCAACTCAAATTTAGAAAGTTTTTATCGATTCGATAGCCCAGATACTTAAATTACCTAGTTTAGAGATTCGGAAAATATATATATTTATCTAAGTAAAAAACTAAAAAAAAATAAACAAATAATCTCAGTTTATATTATTACCTCCAACTCATCCCAATGCGAAATCTATAAAAGGACTTGCATCTAAATCGCTCGAAGAAAGGTGGTAAATGGTAATGGATGGGATGCTTAAAAACTCAAAACTGTTGTTAAGAAAGACGAGGAGTGGGTTCAATATTTAGAAATGTATATCTTTCGTGTCAGCTTCAATATATCCCCGTGTACGTGTATACCTAGTGTAGAACGACGTCGTTAGAGAGAGAACTGTTATCCAAGTGTCACTCAACTTGATATTGGATCCGAGATTTTATGGTCGGTCAATGAACGAGGAGTGTAAGAAAGAGGGGAAGGAACTTAAGAAATCTTTGTTATACTACGAAACTCAAGAGCTATGAATATTCATTAGAAGATACTTTCATCCAAAATGAATATTTATACATTCTCTTTCTCACTTCATTCTTCTTTCTTTACTTATTATTTTTAAGTTCAAGAATCTTTAAATGTGTTGCTTTCGAACTGTTGAATCTGTATTTAAGTCTTGTTTTTACAGGTGGATGTGAAAACAAACACTGCGAATTCTATGCAGTTTGTGAGAGTGGAGGTCATGGAGAAGCCAAGTGTGTTTGTCCTCATTCGTGCATAAAGGTAACGTCTATTAAACTGATCATTAATTCTTTAAAAAAGAGCAGGAGTTTACGTGCATCTGAAGCTAGAAAAAGTGGATTTTTTTAAGAGAAACAATATATATATATATAAGAAAGAGCAACAGACTCATACCAATAATTATAGCAATAAGAAAATAAAGAAGTGGAGAAATGATAGCTATTTCTCCAAAATAGGCTATTTTTGAAGGAAGGTAAAGAGGCTATCAAGAATATAGAGTTATCCATCTCAGAGACAGATTGCTCTACTATTAGTAATGTGGATATCGATCAAAAAAATATACAATATTCCGCTGTTTTTTACCTTAAAAAATATAAAATTACCAAAAATATCGTCAAAGTAATTATCGATTTAAAACGAATTTTTTAAAATTTCTACAATATTTTATATGGGGGGAAAAATGAGAATTTTCTCCAGCAATTGTATAAAAATACCTTGATAAAATAATAAGATTCTTTTCTTATGCACGGTTTAATATAACGAGATCATTTGAATCCTATTAAATATATAAAATTGTTAAGAAAGATTCAGTTAGAGTAGTTGAATCGAACGAAAAATACCTTATTCAAGTATAAGATAATTAAATTTATTCATGCGTGTGTAGAATCGAATCCCAATAGGATCCTCTCCTCATTTTTAATATATGCTAGAGAAGTTGTGGAGCGCATCCCTGAAAGTTAGCATCTTAGAATAAAGGTAAAGATCGTAATTTTAAAGTTCAAAATTTTAAATTTACAGATGTAGAAAAAAGAAGTTAAGTTTACGAGTGAATTCAAATAAAGATTGTTCTTCTTGTTTACTTATCATTTTTTTCTTCTTTAACCAATGCAAATAGAGAACTAAGAAATAAATAAAAACCAAAAAGCCATTAAATTAAATTAAGGTTAATGAATATTAGTAATAATTTGAAATTCTTCTTTGAAAACTCTTTCTTAAATTATTTTTAGCGTTAAAATTTTATTGTCAAGAAGTTTTATCAGTATTGAAAGTTGTATTTTTTAAAAAAATTTTCAACGTCAAAATGCGCCCTCCTAAATATTATAACATCAAAATTTTACCTTACAAAATTTTTTCAACGTTCCTACGATCTGTAGGAATTTTTCCAATGTAAAAATTTATTTTCCTAAATTTTATTATATTAAAATTTTACTTTCCTGAACTTTCCAACATTAAAATTTACTCACCTAAATTTTTCCAACGTTAAAATTTGCTCGAGTTAATAGAGTTAAAATTTGCTCTCCTGGATTTTTTTAACGTTAAAAATGATCTTCCTGAATTTTATCACATTAAAATTTTACTTTTTTTGAAGTTTTCAACATTAAAATTCTTTTCCACTTTGCAAATTTTCCAACCTGATAAATATTACGAAAGATCAAAAGCACCTTTCCGCTTAATCAAACGTCAATTTTTCATTACTTAATTTAAATATTTTTTTACACACGAAATGAAAAGAATATAAAAAAAGTAAAAATAAATAAATGCATTCGATTAAATTTTAAATTATCCTATTGACATTTCTTAAATCCAACACAACCGCACTTCAAAATATCGTGTTATATATATATACTGTATATAGTAAATATACAAAAAACATATTTTAAAAGACAATATTTGTAGTTTCTGTTGCATTTAAACAGGAAATACACACCAAAGATGCCTAGGAGATATATAAAGATAGATATAAGATCTCCCAATATGCCAATACTGACATATTCAAAGAATATTTTGTGCTTTACTGGATTTTCTACTGTCTCTTCTATATCCTAGACAAAATTGAACTTAGAAAAAATGACTTTGTGAACAATTTTAAAGGGGATTTATATTATTTTCTAAATTAAGAAATAAGATACATTGAAGAAAGTGCATTTTTTTCTTAAAGATTTCTAACTAGTTCACTATATAAATCATCCCTGGATGTGTAATTTCCTTACTTTTCTAGATCAAAGAAATGTTTCATTTTCTTGAAGGTGATTTTTCACAGTAAAATACTTTCTCCTAATAATAATTCTTGGCATACTTAGCATCATAATTGGTTTCGTTCTAAGTCGATCCTTTGCTTAATATCGTTGCGTAAGTAAAGAGTCACGGAATAAATTTGCAATTTGAGTAAAAAATCAATCATAGAAAGCAACAGAAACAGGAAAAATCTTTTAGAACAGGAAATTATACGTCTTAAGCCAACTTAACGAAAGAGATCAATAGAGATTCTTTTTTATTTATGTTGTATACTTAAAACTTATTCTATTTAACCAATACAAACAAAAGAAAAATTTTAAATTAAAAAAAAAAGGAGGAGGAGGGTAGATTCTCCATTAAATCAAATTAAAATTAATGAATTTTAATAAAAATAAGAATATTTTGTTCTTTTCTCGTGAACTTTTTGAAGTTTTTAAAAAAAATAAATTTATTTTTCTAAATTTTTCAACTGCAAAAACTCTACCTTTTGTGATTTTTTTTTCGATTCAAAATTTTTATATTTTGTCAATTTTTTCAACGTTTGAATTTTATTTGTAAAAATCTTATTTTTCAACATCAAATTTACCTTTTATAAATTTTTCTAGCGTCGAAATTTTTAAAAATATTTTATAAATTTTATTTTTGCAAGTTTTTCCCACATCAAAAATTTGCATTTTCTAATTTTTCAAACATCAAAATCTTATCTTTATAAAATTTATCTTCTCCTTTTTATAATAGAAAATTCGAATTTTTAAATTTTTTCAAAGTAAAAATTCCATCTTTTACAAATTTTATTTTCGTAAAATTTTCCAACATCAAAATTAATAATATATTTTTTTTTCAGATTTTTTCAACTTTAAAATTGTATTCTTGCAAACTTTTCTAGGGTCAAAATTCTATTTTTATGAATTAAATTTTTTTTGTAAATTTTCCTACAAAAGTGATGCTGATAAAGAAAAACTTTTCCAGCATCACTTCTTCATCTCCAACATCAATTTTTCATTTATTTAATTCAAGTTTTCTATCATCTTAAATGAAAATAATGGAGGGGAAAAAACACATTACACTCGATTAAATTTTTAAAAAAATTCCAAAGTTTTAATCATTTCATACTTAAATAAATTATGTAGATAGGTGTATAACATACAAAGCATACGTAATTAATACTTTTGAAAAGTAATTATTTAAACTTAATTTATTATAAGCCATAGTAACAACATCAAGCGATTAAGAACATTGGCATTTGTAATGAAAGCATTGGAGTGATGTAGAGGAAATAGCTTTTACTATATTTAACTCCGCTTTCATTTAAACGTATAATTATATATTGTAGTGGAATATAAATTACCTTGTAGTAAATGTACGTGAAAATAGGGGTTTTTTAGATTCTAGAATATAAAATTTTAGGTTTTTTTTTTAGATGTAAATATACAGTTGGATGTACTGATTTAGCTTTCACTCCATATTCTTCCTTCCAGCTAAAACTTTTACTAAATCGCATATAGAATATAAATTGAATTATGTTTGAAGGGAATTTTAAACTAGAGTTTTTTATTTTAATTATACTTTTTGGTTTTCTGAAGTTAAGAATTTATGAATCTATCGATTTTATTTGAAGTTACACGCGTTTTCATTAGTTTAATGCAATTGTTTCGTGTAGAAATCAGGTTTATTTCGCTTGGAAATAAGAATATTTTTATGTATTTTTGGTAAAACTTAATGTTTCAGGTAGAATCACACGTCTGTGGAACTGATGGTGTTACTTACAATAGTGAATGCGAAATGAGGGTTTCTGCTTGCAAAAAGAAACAATATGTCATGGTAGCTTCCAAGGGAATTTGCGGTAAAAATCGTTATTTTAGTTAATTTTTAATTACAAAATATTATTAAAATTTTTATAAAAATATCTCTTCTACGTCTAGACTGTTTCTCGTATCACCAGATGATGCTACTCGTTAATTAAGTTATTTAAAAATATTCTAACGAGAGTTGACTTATAATTAACTTTAAGCGTTAATAAAATTATTTATAATCGATTAATTTTCGTATAAATAAAACATTTATCTATAATATTTATAATAATTTTTAAAAAAAATTATCGTTTTATTAAATAAAGATTCATAATTTATGATATTTATTAATTTGTTTAAATGCTTCTAAATTGATTTAATCTTAGAAAATTATATTAAATTTTTAACGCTAAAATGTCGATTTATTAATGTAAAATGTTTTAAAATATTTTTAAAAATTTGATATATTTTAAGCATTTTTCTCTACTTAGACTTATGTTTAAATGTCCATTGTAAATACGGTGCCAGATGCGAAAATGGTCACTGCATATGTCCTACTGAATGTCCAAATTCCTACGAACCAGTCTGTGCCAACGATAGCACCACATACAACAACGAATGCGAAATGAAACGTGCATCTTGCCAAATAACTCAGGAACTCACTGCCCTATTCTATGGAGAATGCGAAGATGCTAGAGAAACGGATGTAGACAGTAAGAATTACTCCATATAACTTATTGAATTATAGCTTCACGTAGAAATAAATCTTAAAATTTTACAGTTTTAGGTCCTTCTAGCCAGAAATGTGATAAGGTTTGTCAGTTTGGAGGACTATGCGATTACGATTCGGATGGTCTGCCGTACTGTGCTTGTCATTTCCAATGCCCTTCTTTGAGAGAACCTATCTGTGGTTCTGATGGAAGATTGTATGACAACGACTGTAAACTAAGAGAGGAAGCGTGTAGACAACAGCACAAGATAATCCTTGTTTCGTTAGAAAAATGCGGAGGTAAGAATTTCGGCGATGTTCGTGTGACAAGATCTTTTTTTTGTGAGATTCGTTGACAATAGGTGTGCTTTTGCCATGTACTGTGTCAAGGTGACCACAAGGAATATTGTATCTGTGCAGACGTCTTGACTGTGCCTTGCGAAGGAGAACCTCCTCTTCTTGATCCTCTAACTGGTAAAGAGTATTACTGTGGAGACGGTCCTGGCGGGAAAAGATGTCCTCCTAATAGTTTTTGTCACAAATCAGCAAATTTCGCGACCTGCTGCAGGGAAAGTAAATATAAATGTTTAATTTTTAAAAAATTCACATAATTAGAGTAAATATTAAAAATTAACGAAAGAAAATTTGTTTTTTAAAATCATATTTTAGCTATAAATTTATTTATTTTCAGTAATTTCGATAGAAAATTGTGCAGAAACGACTTACGGCTGTTGTCCTGATGGAAAAACTATAGCTCAGGGTGTTCAAAATGCTGGTTGTCCTAGTAAGTTCGCTTGTAGATGATAGAAACTTAATTACAAGTCTATTTTAAGAGGAAAAGATAATAATTACAATAATCGTTAATCATAGTTTAGTATATAAATCATAAATCATATACTGTGTATGATTTATGATTATGATATATAATTAACAAGTAGCCATAAATTATATATCACAAATCATAAATTTTATTTGTATAATTTATGTCGTATCCATTTAACACATATATGTAACTGTAATATAGACTAAACTTTATTTTTAGCGTCAGAGACGTTAGTAACATTTCAGATGTAAGGATATCGGCTTCTCCTCCTAACAGTGGTTCGAAAGGAGAAGCAACATTTACAGGGGAAACGGCACGTCTTTAACATTTAGAAGCAATCTAGAAAATTAATTTCTTAATAATTTAATAATGTAGCAATTAGTATTGAAGAATCTTTCTACCACGTTTAATAAATAACCACTAGAGACGAGATATAGAGAAGAATCAATCAATCGATTGCCGTATACAAAGAAAATGTAAATTGTTCTGGTTCCGTCAGAAATATTGATAAAAATTCGAAATTTAATAAAATATAAATCCTTGATATTTCCTAATATTAAACATAAGATTTACAGTTAAAATTTTATTTGATAAAATACTTATTATTCTTGATTAAGTTAATGTAAAAAGTCTTCCTTTCCTTATTAAAAAATGCAAGTTCTGTCAGTTAACAAATATAGTCAATTTTGATTAATTATAAAAGTAATTATCTTCAGCTTCTTATTCTTCTACATTCAAAAGAAAAGCCGCGAGTTTAATATTAATATTTTATATTATCTTCACAACAGGTGTTTTGACTTTTTTTCCTTAAAAAAAATTCGTTCGCTGCATCTAACAAAACCAGGTTTTGATAATAATCTTTATTCTCAAATCACAGCAGAAGTCTCCAAAGGAAAAAAAATATAGTTAAAGAGAAGCTAGAATTATTTATTTTAAGCTGCAACTTAACTTATTTTTTTAAATAATAAATCATCGTTTTTTAAAGATTTTCTAATTTAGTTGATAGAAAAATTAATTTTTTTTTACTCATTAAATCGTAGAAGGGAATGGTTAATACTTAACTATAATTAATTTTATGAGTTTCATTACAGATATCATATACATTAAAGTAGTTTAGCCAATAAAACGATTAATAACGTAGAAGACTCCTTGATCGATTAATATCCGAATGGATTTCTACCATGGAATGTCACGTATTTGACAAAATAAGAATATGGCAAATATTGATTCAGTTGTTAGCAGTAAGAAAATTTTAAATTTAAATTTGCAGATGACAGTTATGTTAATCTTATAAAATCGAGAGTAGATATTAAAATTATTATCCTAAATCTAAAATTAAACTAAGGTTCTTCGACTGTTTAAAAATATTAAAAAATACATTTGTGGATTAAACTTTTGTTTAAAAATATATATTGATTAAACATTCTCCTAACCATAAACTAGAGAATATAATTAAAATATGGAGGAGGGAAAGTAATAAAAAGATGTCTGTTCAGTTACTTTTCCAATAACCAATATTGATCGAAAGGAATGCCGGAACTCTTGTAACTTGTTTCTGATTAATCAAACAATTCTTTTTATAATCAATGATCGTTGTAAGAAAATAAAAAAATTTTTTTCATGATTCAAGTAATAAAATTAAGATATTTATATCCTAGATAATTATTGATCTAATCATTTTAGGTATATGTAATTGCAACAGGCTGGGTTCTTATGATCAAAGTTGTGATCCTGTAACTAAACAATGCCCTTGCAAACCAGGAGTGGGTGGTCTTCGTTGTGATAGATGCGAGCCTGGATTTTGGGGTCTTCATAAGATTGCAGAAGGAAGCACAGGATGCATTCGTGAGTTGGAGATTCTTCTTTTATCACTTATTAGAAAAATAGCAAGAAAAAATGTAATTCATCTCGCGTGTCACGACACGACATCTAATTACAATCTTCTCCGAACTTGCTTTTTTTCCTCTGTATCCTCCTCCTTTTTGTGAATTTATTTTTCGAGTAGTCTTGATTAATAAAACCAAAGACATCTTAATTTTATGTTTTGTATTTACAAAAACTGTATAAATGATAATTAATACCGTCTTACAACAATAATTTTAAAATATAAGCTCGTATAGTAATTAAACTGAATTATAACGTTATTAGTGTCAACGACTCTTATTAATCTTTCTTTAATTAAGAATTTATGATTGGATAACATTAAATATTATTCAAAACTTCAAATAATACTAATTAATGAATAATTATCGTTACGTAGTCGTTTAGCTTTATATAGTTGATGGATAATTTGGGGTTGGAAGCTGGAATGAAGGAATAAACGATACATATAAAATACATATAAATGCATCACTCCTCCGGCATCCTCATCATCTCGAAAACACGATTGTAAATTTAAATTCAAATTTGTGATGTAAATAATAGATAAGTAACAAATTAAACGAATCGTTACGTTGAAAATACGTTGAAAAAATTTACTTATCGATCTATAAATGGGATCAATAGTAAATGCATCATTCGAATAGGAATCATAGGTTAGTTTAGTTTTTATCTGTCATTTTCTCTAATGTTCTTTCATCTGCCATACAAACGAGACTTTCTATTAGATTCTCGTTAGCAGGCGGTTTCATCCCCCTTAATTCCAACTAAATTATACTTTGTAATTAGTGCAACCATCTTTAATTTTCATTCGATTTTTTAATTGTATATTTTTTAAATTCTTTTTTGATAGCTTGCGAGTGCAGCCTCGATGGATCTGTCAGAGACGACTGCGAACAGATGACAGGAAGGTGTGTCTGTAAACACGGTATACAAGGCATGAAGTGTGACGTGTGTCCATTTAAAGAAACAGTACTAGGTCCCGAAGGATGTTCGGATGGTATAGTGATAACGACTTTCTTACTATTATAAAAATAACTATTGTCTAGTACAATATATAAGGATTCGTAAAGTATTTTTATATATTTCGCTTGAAATCCAATTTTGAGATTATGGTTTCAACTTTATATAAATATATATATATAAAGTTGTATGTAAGATGAGAAAAGAAGATTTTGCCATCTCTCCTTAAGTAACTGCATCATAAAATTTTCAATTTAAAAAAAGTACAGAAAAAAAGGTCCAAATTGATACATTCCTTTAAAAAAATGTGTATAAAGTGTGAATAAATTTACATAAAAATTCAAAAAATACGCATTTATATTTAACATTAAACTTTTGATACTTATATACTTTAAACATATTTTCAAAAAATACCAAAAGAAGAAAAATTGAAGCCAGTTTTTGACTTCTAAAAAAAACCATCTGCAGAGGAAGAAGTTAGATTATTTTTCCTTAGAAATATATATAAATTCAAATCGATATTGTTACTTTTGTGTTTTTTTTCTCTTCCTTTCTTTCCAGCATCGGTAGCAGGACCAGTCACGGGTTCGTGCGCCCAATTGAAATGCTCTCATGGGGCTACTTGTAGAGAAAAAGGAAACAGAGCCCAATGCTTCTGCAATTTCAAATGTACAGCCGAAGATAATCGTAGTCCCGTTTGTGGTTCTGATGGAAGTACCTATGGGTCTGAATGCCAATTGAAATTATTCAGTTGTAGATACCAGAAACCTATTACAGTCAAGAACTTTGGTCCTTGTCATTCAGGTACTGTAAATCATAAACAATATTAATGGTACCTTTTACTTTAAATTAATTTTTTTATTCTAAATAAAAAAAATATGAATAGCTTATCAGAGCA